TGGGAGGGGATGCTGCCCTCCACCCCCAGCTCTTCTCCCTTCCTGGGTAGAGCGCGGGTCTGGGGACGTGGAGGGCCTGCGTGTCCTGGCATCAGTCCGAGGGCTAGGCCCCGGAAGCTCTGCCCTGGGCACGTCAGAGGTTGCTCCAGAACCCAGCGGCCAAGGCCTCCTATCCCCGCCTCTGTGGTCTCCCCGCAGCCCCCAGGGAGGAGGCTCGCGGGAGGGAGGAGGCACAGAGGAAGTCTCTGGAAGGAGCTGGCCTGGGTGGGGGTGGTTGGATGGATGGAGAGGAGGTGGAACGGAAGTCTCCAAGCAGGAGAGGGGCCTGAACAGAGGCTAGGGTGGGACTGAGACTCTGGGAGGCCATGAGGAGGCCAGGCAGGGCCTGGGCCCACTTGTGGGGCAACGGAAGTTAGGGGCCCAGAGCCCAGCCAGACAGCCAAGGGTCAGATGGCAGCCTGGGAGACCAGCGTGGCCGTGACCCACTGCACAGGCCGAGTGGTGGCTGGAAAGGCCTGAGACCCCGGACCTGGGAGTGACCGTGGGACCTGCAGGCTGGAGAAAGGGCTGAGGAGTGCCCTGTGCCTTGGGCTCCCCGTGGGGTCTGTGGGGCCCCCGTGAGGTCCAGGGCTGGCCAGAGTCTCCAGCACCATTGTAACAGACGGGGCTGGCCGGTTCCTGTAAGATGATTCTTGCTTTGCCTTTGAACTTTATCACGCTGAGGGATGAGCCCCAGCACAGAGGAACAATGGAGCCGTGATGTGGGCACGGCCCTCTGGCCTCACCTGCTCCTCCCCCGAAGCCTCTACGTCCAGGGTGGGATGGCGTTGGTGGCCCTCTACCGCCCTTCGGTCCTTCCTGCCTCCCTGCCCAGCTCCCCCTCCCCCCACAGACGGCTGTTTGTTTCCATGGGGTAGTGGGCTGGGCTGCCATCTCGCACTAACCTGGATGGCTGGGCAGGCCTGACCCACCAGCCCCGCTGCCCCTGCCCTCTCCGGGTATGACGAGTAGTGGGTCCAGACTCCATCTCAGCAGAGGACCCTGGGGGCCCTGGGGCGGGGGAACCTCAGAGCAGCCTCTTCGTTCTCCCACAGGTGGCCGGCCCCGCTGGTGAGCCAGGCCTGTCCCGCCTCGCACCTGCTGCTCCCCCTGCCAGGAGCCCCCGCCCCCTCCACGATGGCTCCCTCGCCCGAGGACCCAGGGCCGGGTCTGGAGAGCGGACGGCCTTTCCTGAGCACCAACAGCCTGCCAGTGGGTGAGTGAGGCCCCTGGGCAGGCGGCGATGCAGTTCTGTGTTCAGTCCCCAGCGAGTGTGACATCCTGGTCCCACCTGGGCAAAGGGGACCCTGCGTACTCCTCCAGAGCAGGGGGCACCAATGCTGGGGGCATGCACCCCTCCTGGTGCTGGGGGAGCACACACGTCCTAGGAAGACAGCTGGGGGCTGCCAGCTCCCCCCCAGCTCTGCGCGGCTCCGTCAGACCCCTGCGGGCCCTGTGCTGGCCCTGGGTCCTTGGCTGCTCTCTCGGCTGCTGGGTGGTGCTTGGTGCCGCCGGCTCTGGCCCTCCACGCGCCACTTCTCCACCTCCTGTGGCCTGTTGGCGTGACACTGGTGGCCTCTGGAAGCAAGTCGTGCTGGCTTAGGCACGCGCGCGCGCGCGCTCGCTCTCTCTCTCTCTCTCTCTCTCT